CTGGGTTCCAGCAATTCTCCTGCCTCAGCCTCCCGAGTAGCCATGATTACAGGCACACACCATCACACCTGGCTAATTAAGTATTTTTACTAGAGAAGGGGTTTCACCATGTTGGTCAGGCTGGTCTTGAACTCCTGACCTCAAGATTCACCCGTCTTGGCCTCCCAGAGTGCTGGGATTTCAGGCTTGAGCCACCGCGTCTGGCCCCATAATGAAAACTTTAAAAAAGTATTGAGAGGCTTGTATACACCATCACCAACTGAAATTTATGGCAGGTATGAAAGGCTGGTTCAACACTTGAAAATCAATTACTGTGATTCATCATATTTACAGCCTAAAGAAGAAAAATCACATATTGTATCAAGAGATGCAGAAACAGCATTTGGCATAATCCGAAATCCACTAATGATAAAAACAATTCTTGGTAAGGTAGGAATAGAAAGGAATCTCCTCAACTTGATAAAGAACACCTATAAACAAACAAACAAACAAACCAAAAACTACTGGCTAACATTGTATTTGATGAGAAACTAGAGGCTTTCCTGCTAAGGTAGGAACAAAGCAAGCATGTCCCATCTCTTTACTTCTTTTCAACTTTGCACTAGAATTTCTAGCTGATATGATAAGACAAGAAAAGAAAATAAAAAGTGTAAGATTGGGAAGGAAGAGATAAAACTATCTTTGTTCACAGATGACATGATCATCTGTGTAGTAAATCTGAAATAATTGACAAAAAAACAAAACAAAGCAAACTTCTGAAACTAATCAACAATTTTAGCAAGGTTGCAGGTACAAGGTTAATATATAAAAGTTAATAATTTTTCCACCTGCCAGCAACCAACCCATGGAATTTGAAATAAAAAACATATTGCCATTTACATTAACACCACAAAAAAGGATATACTTAGGTATAAATCTAAGAAAGTATGTAAAACATCTATGTGAGAAAAACTATAAAGCTTTGATGAAATAACTCAAAGAACTAAATAAATGGAGATATATCCCATGTTCATAGACAGACTCAGTATTATCTTATTGTCAGTTCTTCCTAACTTGATCTATAGATTTGATGCAATGTCAATTAAAATCCCAGCAAGTTATTTTGTAGATATTGACAAACTGATTCCAAAGTTTATGTGGAGAGGAAAATCATCTAGAACAGCTAATACAACATTGAAGGAGAAGAACAAAGTTGAAGGATTGATGCTATGTGATCTTGAAACTTAACTGCAAAACCATGGCAATTAAAATGGTGTGGTATTGGCAAAATAGGCTAATAGATCATTGGAACAGAACAGAGAGCCCCAAAATAGAACCACATAAATATTGTCAACTGAACTTTGACAAAGGAGGAAAGGTAATATGATGAAGAAAAGAGAGTCTTTTCAATAAAAGTATGTCTTTTCTTTTTCTTTTTTTTAAATATTTTATTGGATTTTAGGTTTTGGGGTACATGTGCAGAGCATGCAAGACAGTTGCGTAGGAACACACATGGCAGTGTGCTTTTTTTTCCTTCTCCCCTTCACCCACATTTGGCATTTCTCCCCAGGCTATCCCTCCCCACCTCCCCCTCCCACTGGCCCTCCCCTTTTCCCCCCAATAGACCCCAGTGTTTAGTACTCCCCTTTCTGTGTCCATGTGTTCTCATTTTTCATCACCCGCCTATGAGTGAGAATATACGGTGTTTCATTTTCTGTTCTTGTGTCAGTTTGCTGAGGATGACGTTCTCCAGATTCATCCATGTCCCTACAAACGACACAAACTCATCATTTCTGATTGCTGCATAATATTCCATGGTGTATATGTGCCACATTTTTCCAATCCAGTCTATTATCAATGGGCATTTGGGTTGATTCCAGGTCTTTGCTATTGTAAACAGTGCTGCAATGAACATTCGTGTACATGTGTCCTTAGAGTAGAACGATTTATAGTCTTTTGGATATATACCCAGTAATGGGATTGCTGGGTCAAATGGAATTTCTATTTCTAAGGCCTTGAGGAATCGCCACACTGTCTTCCACAATGGTTGAACTAATTTACACTCCCACCAACAGTGTAAAAGTGTTCCTTTTTCTCCACATCCTCTCCAGCATCTGTTGTCTCCAGATTTTTTAATGATCGCCATTCTAACTGGCGTGAGATGGTATCTCAATGTGGTTTTGATTTGCATCTCTCTGATGACCAGTGACGATGAGCATTTTTTCATATGATTGTTGGCCTCATATATGTCTTCTTTTGTAAAGTGTCTGTTCATATCCTTTGACCATTTTTGAATGGGCTTGTTTGTTTTTTTCCTGTAAATCTGTTTGAGTTCTTTGTAAATTCTGGATATCAGCCCTTTGTCAGATGGGGAAACTGCAAAAATGTTTTCCCATTCTGTTGGTTGCCGATCCACTCTAGTGACTGTTTCTTTTGCCGTGCAGAAGCTGTGGAGTTTCATTAGGTCCCATTTGTCTATTTTGGCTTTTGTTGCCAATGCTTTTGGTGTTTTGTTCATGAAGTCCTTGCCTACTCCTATGTCCTGGATGGTTTTGCCTAGATTTCCTTCTAGGGTTTTTATGGTGCCAGGTCTTATGTTTAAGTCTTTAATCCATCTGGAGTTAATTTTAGTGTAAGGTGTCAGGAAGGGTTCCAGTTTCTGCTTTCTGCACATGGCTAGCCAGTTTTCCCAACACCATTTGTTAAACAGGGAATCCTTTCCCCCTTGCTTGTTTTTGTCAGGTTTATCAAAGATTGTATAGTTGTAGATATGTTGTGTTGCCTCTGGTGCCTCTGTTTTTTTCCATTGGTCTATATCTCTGTTTTGGTACCAGTACCATGCTGTTTTGATTACTGTAGCCTTGTAGTATAGTTTGAAATCCGGTAGTGTGATGCCCCCCTGCTGTGTTCTTTTTGCTTAGAATTGACTTGGCTATGCGGGCTCTCTTTTGGTTCCATATGAAGTTCATGGTGGTTTTTTCCAGTTCTGTGAAGAAAGTCAATGGTAGCTTGATGGGGATAGCATTGATTCTGTAAATTACTTTGGGCAGTATAGCCATTTTCACGATGTTAATTCTTCCTAACCATGAACATGGAATGTTTCTCCATCTGTTTGTGTCCTCTCTGATTTCGTTGAGCAGTGGTTTGTAGTTCTCCTTGAAGAGGTCCCTTACATTCCTTGTGAGTTGTAGTCCAAGGTATTTTATTCTTTTTGTAGCAATTGTGAATGGCAGTTCGTTCTTGATTTGGCTTTCTTTAAGTCTGTTATTGGTGTAGATGAATGCTTGTGATTTTTGCGCATTGATTTTATATCCTGAGACTTTGCTGAAGTTGCCTATCAGTTTCAGGAGTTTTTGGGCTGAGGCGATGGGGTCTTCTAGGTATACTATCATGTCGTCTGCAAATAGAGACAATTTGGCTTCCTCCTTTCCTATTTGAATACCCTTTATTTCTTTTTCTTGCCTGATTGCTCCGGCTAGAACTTCCAGTACTATATTGAATAGGAGTGGTGAAAGAGGGCATCCTTGTCTAGTGCCAGATTTCAAAGGGAATGCTTCCAATTTTTGCCCATTCAGTATGATATTGGCTGTTGGTTTGTCATAAATAGCTTTTATTACTTTGAGATACGTTCCATCGATACCGAGTTTATTGAGGGTTTTTAGCATAAAGGGCTGTTGAATTTTGTCAAATGCCTTCTCTGCATCAATTGAGATAATCATGTGGTTTTTGTTTTTGGTTCTGTTTATGTGGTGAATTACGTTTATAGACTTGCGTATGTTGAACCAGCCTTGCATCCCCAGGATGAATCCTACTTGATCATGGTGAATAAGTTTTTTGATTTGCTGTTGCATTCGGCTTGCCAATATTTTATTGGAGATTTTTGCATCTATGTTCATCATGGATATTGGCCTGAAGTTTTCTTTTCTTGTTGGGTCTCTGCCGGGTTTTGGTATCAGAATGATGTTGGTCTCGTAAAATGATTTGGGAAGTATTCCCTCTTTTTGGATTGTTTGAAATAGTTTTAGAAGGAATGGTACCAGCTCCTCCTTGTGTGTCTGGTAGAATTCGGCTGTGAACCCGTCTGGACCTGGGCTTTTTTTGTGTGGTAGGCTCTTAATTGCTGCCTCGACTTCTGACCTTGTTATTGGTCTAGTCATAGTTTCACCTTCCTCCTGGTTTAGGCTTGGGAGGATGCAGGAGTCCAGGAATTTATCCATTTCTTCCATGTTTACTAGTTTATGTGCATAGAGTTGTTTGTAATATTCTCTGATGATGGTTTGAATTTCTGTGGAATCTGTGGTGATTTCCCCTTTATCATTTTTTATTGCATCTATTTGGTTGTTCTCTCTTTTCTTTTTAATCAATCTGGCTAGTGGTCTGTCTATTTTGTTGATCTTTTAAAAAAAACAGCTCTTGGATTTATTGATTTTTTGAAGGGTTTTTCGTGTCTTTATCTCCTTCAGTTCAGCTCTGATCTTAGTTATTTCTTGTCTTCTGCTGGGTTTTGAGTTTTTTTGATCTTGCTCCTCTAGCTCTTTCAATTTTGAGGATAGGGTGTCAATTTTGGATCTCTCCATTCTCCTCATATGGGCGCTTATTGCTATATACTTTCCTCTAGAGACTGCTTTAAATGTGTCCCAGAGGTTCTGGCATGTTGTGTCTTCATTCTCATTGGTTTCGAAGAACTTCTTTATTTCTGACTTCATTTCATTGTTTACCCAGTCAACATTCAAGAGCCAGTTGTTCAGTTTCCATGAAGCTGTGCGGTTTTGGGTTGGTTTCTGAATTCTGAGTTCTAACTTGATTGCACTATGGTCTGAGAGGCTGTTTGTTATGATTTCAGTTGTTTTGCATTTGTTGAGCAGTGCTTTACTTCCAATTATGTGGTCAATTTTTGAGTAGGTGTGATGTGGTGCTGAGAAGAATGTATATTCTGTGGATTTGGGGTGGAGAGTTCTGTAAATGTCTATCAGGTTTGCTTGCTCCAGGTCTGAGTTCAAGCCCTGGATATCCTTGTTGATTTTCTGTCTGGTTGATCTGTCTAATATTGACAGTGGAGTGTTAAAGTCTCCCACTATTATTGTGTGGGAGTCTAAGTCTCTTTGTAAGTCATTAAGAACTTGCCTTATGTATCTGGGTGCTCCTGCATTGGGTCCATATATGTTCAGGATCGTTAGCTCTTCTTGTTTTATTGATCCTTTTACCATTATGTAATGGCCTTCTTTGTCTCTTTTGATCTTTGTTGCTTTAAAGTCTATTTTATCAGAGATGAGAATTGCAACTCCTGCTTTTTTTTGCTCTCCGTTTGCTTGGTAAATCTTCCTCCATCCCTTTATTTTGAGCCTTTGTGTATCCTTGCATGTGAGATGGGTTTCCTGGATACAGCACACTGATGGGTTTTGGATTTTTATCCAATTTGCCAGTCTGTGTCTTTTGATTGGTGCATTTAGTCCATTTACATTTAGGGTTAATATTGTTATGTGTGAATTTGATACTGCCATTTTGATGCTAAGTGGCTGTTTTGCCTGTTAGTTGTTGTAGATTCTTCATTATGTTGATGCTCTTTAGCATTTAGTGTCATTTTGGAATGGCTGGTAGTGGTTGTTCCTTTCTATGTTTAGTGCCTCTTTTAGGAGCTCTTGTAAAGCAGGCCTGGTGGTGACAAAATCTCTGAGTACTTGCTTGTTCGCAAAGGATTTTATTTTTCCTTCACTTCTGAAGCTCAGTTTGGCTGGATATGAAATTCTGGGTTGAAAGTTCTTTTCTTTAAGAATGTTGAATATTGGCCCCCACTCTCTTCTGGCTTGTAGTGTTTCTGCTGAGAGATCTGCTGTGAGTCTGATGGGCTTCCCTTTGTGGGTAACTCGACCTTTCTCTCTGGCTGCCCTTAGTATTTTCTCCTTTATTTCAACCTTGTTGAATCTGACGATTATGTGCCTTGGGGTTGCTCTTCTTGCAGAATATCTTTGTGGTGTTCTCTGTATTTCCTACATTTGAGTGTTGGCCTGTCTTGCTAGGTGGGGGAAGTTTTCCTGGATGATGTCCTGAAGAGTATTTTCCAGCTTGGATTCATTCTCTTCGTCCCCTTCTGGTACACCTATCAAACGCAGGTTAGGTCTTTTCACATAGTCCCACATTTCTTGGAGACTTTGTTCATTCCTTTTTGCACTTTTTTCTCTAATCTTGGTTTCTCGTTTAATTTCATTGAATTGGTCTTCAACTTCAGATATTCTTTCTTCTGCTTGGTCAATTTGGCTATTGAAACTTGTGCATGCTTCGCGAAGTTCTCGTATTGTGTTTTTCAGCTCCTTAAATTCATTCATATTCCTCTCTACGTTATCCATTCTTGTTATCATTTCCTCATATCTTTTTTTAAGTTCCTTAGTTTCTTTGCATTGATTCAATACATGTTCTTTTAGCTCACAAAAGTTTCTCATTTTCCACCTTCTGAAGTCTAATTCCGTCATTTCATCACACTCATTCTCGGTCCAGCTTTGTTCCCTTGCTGGTGAGGAGTTTTGGTCCTTTCTAGGAGGCGAGGTATTCTGGTTTCCGGTGTTTTCCTCCTTTTTTCGCTGGTTTCTTCCCATCTTTGTGGGTTTATCCGCTTGTCGTCTGTGTAGTTGCTGACTTTTCGATTGGGTCTCTGAGTGGACACCCAGATTGTTGATGATGAAGTATTTCTGTTACTTTGTTTTCCTTCTACCAGCCTAGCCCCTTCGCTGTACGACTGCTGAGGTCCACTCTAGGCCCTGCTTGTCTGGGGTGCACCTCTAGCAGCTGTGGCACAGCGAGGAATGCTACCCGTTTCTTTTTCTGCTATCTTTGTCCCAGGATGATGCCTGCCAAATGTCAGTCTTTTGGATATAGAGGGGTCAGGGAGCTGCTTGAGGAGACAGTCTGTTCTTTTTAGGAGCTCAATTTCTGAGCTGTGAGGTCTGTTGTTCATTCAGGGCTGTTAGGCTGCTATGTTTGATTCTGCTGCAACAGAGCTCATTAAAAAAACCCTTTTTTTTCTCAAATGCTGTGTGTTGGGGGATTCGGGCTTTATTTTTCGATGTTCTTTGAGGTGTCCTGCCCAGCTAGGAGGCAGACTAGCCACTGTTTGCCTGCCGAGACTCCGCCCTGATGTTGTGTGATTCGCCCTGTTCCTGCAGGCTCTGCTGTGGTCTCTGCCACGCCCTGCGGCAGAGTCTCTTCGTTGTAGCGTGTTGCCTCGGCAACGGCAGGCTGCGTCAGCAGTGGGCATGTATCTCAGTAGGGACGGGTTGCCTCGGCAACGGGAGGCTGCGTCCGCGTGGGTGTGTATCTCAGTAGGGACGGGTTGCCTCGGCAACGGCTGGCTGCGTCAGCAGTGGGCGTGTATCTCAGTTGGGGCAGGTTGCCTCGGTAGTGGTGGATTCCCCTCCCCCACAGAGCGTCTTGGACCGTCTGCTCGGGATAGTTTGAAATCGCGGTTTTGTTCGTCCCACTGGGTATCCCGAACGCTCTGTCCCTGCAATCCCCTGGGCTGGCCTACTGTCCAAGTCTCGTTCAGTCTCAAGTCCAGCCCTCTCAAGTCTCAGGTTGCTGGTTCAACAGGGCACCCGGACAAGCGCACCCTGTGGGGATTGCTGGGTAGGGCTGGCCGCCGCCGCCCCGGCTGCCGGCTTCGCCAGGCAGACTTACTGCCTGGCGTCCCGTGTCTTTTCTATACTTGGGAGTTTCCCCGTTCTGTGGGCAACAAAGATCAGTCTAAAAATGCAGCTCGGACTCACCTCTTTGCGGATTCAATGAGAGCTCCAATCCTGGGTTGTTCTCACAGCGCCATCTTGAGTCCTCCCCAAAAGTATGTCTTTTCAATAAAAGGTGCTGGAACAGCTGAACATCCAAACACAAACATTAAACCTTTCAAAATTTAACTCATTTTTGTTAATTTTGTAAAAGGATCATACATTTAAATGTAAAATGAAAATGACAAAACTTCTTGAAGATAACATAGGAAGAAATCCAGATGCTCTTGGATATGGCAATGATATTTTAGATACAACACCAAAGGCACAATCCATGAAAGAAATAATTGATAGGGTGGACTTCATCAAAATTTAAAACTTCTTCTCTCTGAAAGACACTGTTGAGAATAAGACAACCACAAACCGAGAGAAAATATTTGCAAAATGTACACCAAATAAAGGACAGTTACCCATAACACACAAAGAACTCTGAAAACTCAACAGTTAGAAAACGAACAACTCTATTTTAAAAATGGGCAAAAGACCTGAACACACACTGCACTGAAGAAGATGCCAAGAGGAGAACAAAAGATGAATAGGTAGAGCACAGAAGATTTCTAGAGCAGTGGAAATATTCTGTATGACACTGTAATGGTGGATATGTGTTATTGTAAATTCTTCTAAACCCAAAGACAGCACCAAGAGTGAACCCTAATGTGAATTATGGACTTTGGGTGATAATGACATGTCACTGTAGGTTCATTGATGGGAAAAAAAATGTCACTCTCTAATGCAGGATGTTGATAGTGGAACAGGCTGTGGGTAGGGGTGGCCAGGGGGTATACAGGAATTCTCTGTACCTTTTGCTCAATTTTGCTGTGAACCTTAAAAAATAAAGTTTGTTAAAAATATATTGATAAGTTTGGAGTCAAGTCCACCTTGGTTTGAGGCCAGGTTTGCCACTAACTTGTTGGTGACTTCGGGCAAGATTCATAAACGTCTGAGCCTCAGTTTCTCCCAACCATAAAAGAAAAGATAATGGAGAATGGTGATCATTTAAAAATAAAAATATCTGAAGTACTCAGAGCTGTTTTGGGCTCCTAATAGTGTTAGTTAGGACAGGCATATTGTATAGTGGTTGAAAGCTTAAACTCTAGAGCTGGACTTGCTGCTACAATGTCACTTCCAGCTCTGTCACTTATGAGCTGTGTAACCTTGGGCAAGATACTGACCCTCTCTAGATGCCTCAGTTTAACCGGAGACAGCATAGGCTCAAGATGTCAAGGGTTAGAGATTCGTAAGACAGGCCACATGGTCTGGGCTTCTCTGCTTCACTCTGGTGGAACCCAGGCTAAAGAAAAAAGGTAAAAACGACACGGTGAGTCAGGGTAAGGAACAAAGCTAACATTTATTGAAACGTACTGTGTTCCCTATTGATTGATTTACTTCACAAGAATTTAACTGAACACCTACCATGTGCTAGGGGGCACTCTAGTTGCAGACAAGACAGAGGGCCCTCATGGAGCTTATATTCTCATAGAGCAGACAGACAATAGGCAACGGAACAGGTGAACAAGTTAACTTTCGTTTGTGACAGTACCCTGGATGTGAGGGGGATGCTGAGATGGAAGGAACTGGAACACCTCCTCCAGGCTAGGTAGTCAGAGAAGCCTTCCCTGGGAAACCTTTGACTCATCTAAGGTTTGAAGGGTGACAAGGAGGAGCCAGCCATGTGAGTGTCTGGGAGAAGATAATTTCAGGCCCTGGCCTAGGAATTGGTTATGTCATTTCATGTAATTCTCACAATAGCTTCAGATAAAATTATACCTCTTTTGGAGGCTGAAAGGCTAAGCTGCTTGAGGAAGTGGTAGAGACAAATTGAGCCTGGGTCATCAGATAGAAAGTGCCCTTTCAGGTAGTTTTTGCAAAGAAAACAAAGGTAAAAACTCAGCATTTTATCTGAGAGAAATAAAAGAATAAATTGGCATCTGTTGTGAATGATGCTGCCTTAAAAACAATTCTCCCCATAAGTGGGTTCTCAAGGCAGATTTCCCTCTTCCATATCTTTGCCTGGGCCAGCTTCTCAGTCCAGAAGGCCTTTCCTGCTTCTCCATGCCCGTCCATATCCTCCCATCTCTTGGGGCCCAACTCCAGCTCCACTTCTCAGGAACCCTTCCAGGAGGGCTCCAGGCCCTGGCAGTTTCAGGAAATGTCTTCCAGAGAGGGAGAGGGAACGAGTTTTGTCCAGGGTCATAGGAAACGGGTGTCAGAGCCAGGAGGTCAGACCTCCTCCTGACCCCCAGGGAAAGGCCCTTCCTCCCTCCCCCCAGGAGCACCACCCCCAGCTGCTAGACCTCTTCACCCCATGCCCAGTTGGCAGCTGCGCATTGCCTTCTGCAGGCTTCAGTTCCCATCCCCTCCCTCTCTGTTCTCAGATTTGCTTCTGGGAGGAAAGAGCATTTTTTTGTGCAGAGATGACTCTGTTCTTGTGGCCATAGATTACTCTTGACACCTAATTACTGTATATCATTGTGCCATAAAATAATGATTGGAGGTGTCACTGTCCCAAATTTGCGCTCATAAAATACGTGTTCTTTTTGTTTTCCTCCTCTGCATTTGTCTGGGAGAAAAGACAGGCAAATTTATTCCAACTTTTTAGAGGAACTTTAAAGCACAGGAACAGAAGAATTTTAGAGGTGGGTGGTTTTAAAAATATCCTGCAGAGGGAGGAGGCCTTGGCCCAGTTGATTTTATGTGGCCTGGGGAGAAAATGAAGACCTTGGCTAAGACGTTGTCTCCTTCCAATCTGCATTTCTCTGTCTTTGCCTGCCTGGCAAAAACCCCTCCTCTGTCTTTTTCTCCCTAACCTTCTGCTCCCTGATCACCCCTACCCCACATCAGGTCTTTCTAAGGAAACATTGGAATGTGGTGGAAAAGATTCCCATTCTAATGTTACCCAGACTTGATTTCAAATCTTGCCTCTGTTGCTCGCCAGCCCTGTGACCTTGGGTAAGCTCTGCCACTTCTGGAGTCTTGGTTCCATCACGTAGACAATGGGGAATAATAAATACTATCTCTGCCTCCTGCGGCTGCTCTGGGGACTAGGAACAAAACAATCATAGATGTAAAGCATCTAGTAAGGGATCTGCACAAAAGAAGGGCTCAACAAACATCTGCTGCTTGCTTTTCCCTCCAAAGTTCTTCTGTTTGTTCTCCCTAAGTGGGCCCAGAAATCCTAGAATCCATCCTTACCTGATTAACATCTCCCTCCTCTGGCAAGCTCAGGCTGCAATCAGGAGTCTGTAGGAAAGACATCTGATTAAACTGGCTGGCATGGGGGAAGAGCGGCTGAGATCCACGCAGCCCTCCAAGGGGCATCAGCAAGGACATTTTGAAAGCGCAATCTTATTTGTCACCAGAAGGAAACAGTGAAGTCAGCTTGTTCCACTGCTCTGCCTGCACAGGGAGGCCCCTGTCCCCTGCAGGTGGCTTTCTAGCCTCTTGTCCACCTTTACAGGGATGAGTTCTCTGTCTCCTGAGGGGGCCCATTTAGAGTGCATCTCTCTGAGGCCTCATGCTCTCCCCAACATCACACCTCTCCCCGCCTGGAAAAATATTCTCTCTGGGTTTTGGGAGTGGTTCTTTAAACCAAGATAATTTGTCTTATTAATCCAAACCAACCTGCCAGATTCCTGCCTTAGAAGGGAGGACTTGAGGATTTCTAGGTGGAGGCGGAGTGAATGGCTGTGAGAGGGGGCCCTTATCCCATCTCACCTCTGGCCTGGCGAAGACCTCGGCTCTCAAGGCTCAAGTCAGAAGCCACCTCCTCTGAGTGCCTTTCTCAGCTTGGGGTGTCTGTTTCCTACTCCCGGATCTCTGTACTGGACTCTTCTACAGGGTCGGCCCCTGTCAGTGGCTGCGTCTGGGTCTGGGCTGCCCTCTGGCCTAGGATTCTGACTCTCAGGGCAACCTGAATGTTTGTCAGACTTGCTCAGTGTCTGCCTCTCCAGGCTGGCAGCTTCATCAGGGTGTGGCTGGATCCGCCTGCTCACTGCTGTATCTCAGGTATCTAGTACAGTGCTGGACACAGTAGGTGCTCAGTGAACACTTCCCTGCAGGCTACCGTGTGCCAGTCACCATTCTAAACACTTTACATGGGTCAGCTCATACAACCCTCAGTACAACTCTAAGATGTGGGTTCTATTACCATTCAGGTCTAGCATGGTGTATAAAAGCAGGGATCCTGGAGCCTGGATTTTTATTCTAACTCCACGACCTATTTCCCGTGTGGCCTTGGTTAAGTTACCTGACCTTTCTGTGGCTCATCATTCAATCAGAATAACTGTAACTACTTCATAGGGTTGCAATGCTGTTCAATTAAACGTTCACATACATACAGAGTCCATGTATTAGGTATGATTTGCATTTTATGGTGGCAAAAATTGAGACGCAGAGAGTTTTAGTAACTTGTCTAAGGTCACACAGCTGAGGAGAGGCAGAGCCAAGACTCACGCAGCCGGACTCCGGAGTGCACGCTCTTAACCACGACCCTGCGCTGCTCTTACTGAGGGCGGATTTGAGGACCTGGTTTCACGCACCCTAAGAAGCGCGTTTAGGTACCTGGTACGGGTCCGGGCCCGTGCCTGAGCTTCTCTTCCTCGAGTGAGCACAGCGCGCGGGGACTCCCCCGAGGGTGAGAAGGTGGCAGCCAGGCCGAGGAGGCGAGGAGAACGGCGGCCGCCACCGGCCCCGGCGCGGCGACTCTTCCTTTCGCCAGCAGGGGGCAGCCGCGGCCGCCGTTGATGTCTCAGATGAGTCGCTGCCAAGCGCCGCATGCCTCGCGGGACGAGCTCCAGAAGGACCCTTGGAGGTCACGCGCACGTAGGCTGCACCGAGGCCCCGAGACGGTGCGCTTCCCGCCCAAGGTCACCCAGGGGTCCGTGCTAACGTGGTGTGGTCACACCTCTTCCCTAAAGCCCACGAGGCCAGTTCGAGGAGCTCTAGAACCCAGGAGGTTTGGGCCCCTGCAAGGTTCCGCGGAAGGTGTGGGTGCCAGTCCCGGCTGTGCCACTGCGGCGCTGTGTGACCTTGGGCAGGTCGTTACCCTCTCCAGTCCCAGCGCCCGTCCACTGTCCTTGGGAGGACGCTCGGGGAGCCGACACGTCCTGTGGAGAGGGTACCGCTTTCATTGTAGCGTGCAATGAAAGCCTAGGCGGGCCAGAGTCAGCCCAGCCCGAGCGGGAGCCTGTCCTGGACCCCAGTGTTTGTGGGGTCCGGACCCCTTTCCCGGAGCACTAGCCGAGCCGGCTGGGAGCGGAGCGCCCGAAGCCCGGCAGGGGGCGCTGCCGCATCGTGCGCGGCTTCCCTGCATGTCCTCCCAAGGACAGCGTGGACGCGGCGGGCGGCGCCGGCCAGTGCAGGCTGAGTGAGGTCCGGCCGCGCCCGCGCTAGCGCTGCGGGGCCGAGGTCGGCGACACGGTCTGGGGCGTCGACGGGGCAGGGCGAGTCGTCTGGGGCCGCAGCTGGCCTTTAGCGGGTTTCCGGTTCTGAGTGTGGGGTGGGTGTTAGGGACGGTGTGGCGGGGTGGGGAGGAGGCTGGGGAGGGGGGTGGGGGCTACCAAACCAGCTCTGGGGGACCAGGCTTCGCTGCGTGACCTTGAGCTGTCACTGTTCTGTCCGGGCCTCGGTTTCCTGTCTCTGTAATGGGGGTTCTTGAGGAAACCAATTCATATATTGCATATGAAAGTGCTTCAGGAAATCTGAGGCCCCGGCTGGAGGCAAATTGAAAGGCTTTTATCGAAAAACAGCCATCCCCTGCCTCACACAATGCATCCTCCCCGTTCTGCACTCTGATGGCAACCACTTTAGCAACTTTTACCTGTATTTTCTGGCATTTACCCTCATACTTCAAAATAATATGCTCGTACTGCGATTCCTTAATTTACCTACTTTAGACTTTACCTATTGTCGCCCTGTTAGAATAAATAAGGAATTAGTTGTCTTCCAGCCCCATCCGCATGCCCGGTGTATCTGAATCACTATTTTTCGGTAATTGAGTGATCATCATTCCTTTTAAGAAAAATGTCGCTGTTCGTTTTCCGAAAAGCTCTGTCAGAACTGCCATGGCTTCTCATCCCATGCTTCCCAACAAAACCTCCTCTGTCATGTTCGGTATTCTGCCTTGAGGAATGCTGTCTCCGAAACTGCAGTACCTAGCTGTCTGCAGGAACCCTCTGGTTCAAGACTGTCTCTCCGAGATCGTTTCATGGTCCTCTGTCTGTCTCTATTGGTTTGCTCCCTTCTTTTGCAAACTTTAATTGCTTCCTAAGAAATTGGGCAGGGACAGGGGAATTTTCGTCTACATGGACTTATCTGTATTCGGCCCTTGCACTAGATCAATAATTCAGCTAAGCATGGAATTCTGGGTTGGAAATCATTTTCCTTTCGACCTGGGTGCCCTGTACTGTCTTTGCACCTAGAGTAACCCTACAGAAGCTTCACACCTTCTGATCCACGTTCCTTATGTGCCACTTTTCTTTCTCTCTGGCTGTTTTTGAGGATTTTTTTTTTTTTGTCCTTGGAATTCTGAAATTTCACAAAACATGTGACATGGTGGCTTTTATCATTCATTGTGCTAGGCTCTGGGTGGTCCTTTTCAATATGGAAACTCGTGTCCTTCAGTCCTGTGAAAGTTTATTTTTCCTAGTAATCTCTGCTTGCTCTCCACAACTACTGCAAATTGGAGCTTGGGCCTCCAGCACGGATTTTCCTGTGTCTTTTCACTTTTCTGTATTTCCCTTCTCCTTGCCTTTCTCTTCTACTCTCTAGATTATCCCTTATATATATATATATATGTCCCAACTCTTCTATTGAAGTTTTAATTTCAGCTATCATACTTGTTTATTCTCTGTTCTTCCTTCCCCTCCCCTCTGCAACGTAGACACAGCCTCTGTATTTGTCTCTGAGAATACCAATAGTGATTTTTTCCTCCTGTTTGTTGACTTACCTCTGTCCTCCTGCTTCCCTCTTTTGTTTGGTTGCTTTATTGCGGTCTCTCTGTGGTTCTGCATCCCTCCTCCTGTTGGATGGAGGCTTTTTAAATCTGTACTGGTCCTTGACTTTTGTCCATAGTTAAAGATAAGTGTCCAAGAAGTTGACTGGCATTGATGTCCTGTGAAGGCAGATGGTGCCGATTTCCCTTTGGGTGGACCAGACAGGTCCTGGCCTTTTGTTTTGGGGGAGATGTAAATATCAACAAGGGGAGTTCTTTTCTCTGGGACTGCTCTATTTCTCCAGTAAGGCAGGATGGATATGGTGAAGAGGATGGATTTTGGAGCCAGACTACTTGGGTTTGAATCTGAGCTGTGCCACTTTCTAGCTATATGACCATGGACAAATCACTTAATTTTTCTCTGCCTGTTTCCTGTCTGTAAATTAGGCCTAATAAGAATAGTGCTGCATGAGTTGTTGAGTTTATTTATGTAAAGTTTTTAACCTGGAATATAGTGATAGGTCTAGAGTCACTGCCATGTTCTTTATAGAGTGGGAAGAGGGCTGGGGCAGGGGGATCTGGCTGTTCCCTAGCAGATTCTCAGTTAATCCTGCTGTTTTCAGTCCTTTCTGGCCTTCAAATCTCATGCCCTTTTCCCCCTCTAGAGGCAGTTGCCTTTCTTCTCATTGGTACATCTTCTGCAGGTCTTATCTAACTCAATAGAAAGCAGTTGGCTAATCAAAAAAAAAATTGTGTCAAGCAAGAAATCATTAAAAATGATTTTATTTTATTTTGACTGAAAACTACAGATGCCTATTCCAGTTTCTTTGAGTATGGGCCTGTTAGTTGGAATTCTATAAGGTCTTTCTTGCACAAATCCCAATGCATAAAACATTGTCTACCGTTTCCAGGTTCACCTTCTTTATTGTGCAACTAAAACTTAAAAGGCACTTATGGAACAATATGAGTACAGATACCTTCTAGATTTATGTGATTTCCTCCTAGTCTGTTGCAACTGCTTGTCTGTAACTCAGATAAACATTTTTCAAAAAATGGCAATCTGCTTTCATTGAGTCTTTCAAAATGTTCAACATAGCTTTCATAAAAACAACTCCCTTTTCACAATCATATTTTATTGGTTTAATAATATTAAATGGAATCACATAATTACAAAAGTAAGTACCATTGGCATAAACAAGTTTGAGAATAAGCAGTTGTTTCTGGGAAAGCAGACAGTTAACTGGAAGGGACATGTTTGGGCATTCGCAGGAACAACTTACCTGACAAGGTTTTCAGCCCATAATGTTTGTAGAGAGAACGGCAAGTGTGGCTCTTCCAAGAATGCTCACCCAGTGTTGGTGGATCATGAAAGTTTAGGTTGTGTTGTGTATTCTACCACTCATGCCTCCATCTCCCTTTAACCTTATAGAAATTTGTTGAACTCACTTATCCATAAATGATTCTTCTTCCTTTCTTCCTGTCCTCATGGGTTTATATCTTCTGTTTTCCTGTCATTTTAAGGGGAGAGGGTATAGAGAAGGCAAGGAGATAAGCCTTAAAGTTCCATTTTTATCCAGTCTTTTTTATTTGAGATTCCCAATATCCAGTAAGCAGCAGAGCCTATTATGATCTCCACAAAGGTAACACAGCTGTAAGTGACAGAAGCAAGTGTGAAGCTCAGGTCTGCCTGAGGCTGTAGTGGATACTGTGGTGCTTCTGTCTAGATCCCCTCTCTAGGTTTGACACAGCACCCCCCACCTGCTGGGGATATTGGTTGCTGGCTGGTCCTGTGGCAGCTCACTGGAAATTGCCCTTGGCTATGAGAACTGCCTCACTCTAGCACACTCTTACTTTCGGGGATGGCCGTGGCCATGATTGGCTGAGGCTGGGGTATAAAAGCCCAGCGCTTTTCCCCCAACTTGAGACAAAATTCCATTTAGGATAGGATGAGATGTTGCAATTCATTAATGATCAGTTTGGCCCCCTGCCCAGCTACAGGTGCAACTCCAAAGAACACTCCAATGAATCTTCTGCACACAACTCTTAGTTCCAGAATCTGTCTCTAGGAAGCCCAATATAAGGCAGAGGCCATGGTCCGTGTTCATTTTGGTGCCTCTTCCGGTAGTGGAGACCCAATTCCCAGGCTATTTTGGGGCAGGATTCATTAGCAAAGAGAAGACTGTGATAGTGTCTCACCCAAGACCAGGAAAGAAAGGAGAGAAGACTCATGTTTGGTATTGAGTAGATGCTGAGGTCATGTCTTTAGTTGGTGATGCTGCAGTGGAATGGCCCTGGGTAGGAGGCACCAGGCTTGAATTGTCTAAATAATAAATAACCACCATCCAGGAATTGTAAGGTGCTCAGCAGTTTACACACTATGTGTGCTTACATGTTACTGTGTGATGCATGTGTGACTGCAGGCCCCACCTTACATATGAGGAATCAAAGGCTTTCTAGGGTCACCTGCCTGGGGAGTGCAGGGTGGGGCTCAGCTCCAGGGTCCTCTGACTCTCCATTCCCTGCTTTCTCAGGTGGTTCTACTGGGCACTGGTGAGTGACCTCAGCTCTGTAGGCTTCAGTTTCTCTCTGTCAAGAGAGGTAAAGTCGTTTAACCTGAGAAGCACTCTGGAACCCCGATCGGGGTCTCCTTCCTTTTCCAATGGTTTCCAAGGTACCGACTGCTGCATCACATTTGAGTCATCATGGGACTGAGGAAACTGTTTGTCACAGAAGCAGATCTGGCTTATGGACA